TGTAGGGATGTCAGAGCGGAGTCAGATCCTTCCATGCTGCAGCTGACCTTATTGCTGCCGTAAGTCTCATCTTTTTACGGTTTTTTTTTATTAAAAAGTACCTTTTGTTTTGTTTTGATGCGGGGACTGTCCACGTAGGGTTACAAGAACGCGAGTAACATGGGGGGTGGGTACGTGGCTTGGGTCAGCCACATATTTCCGGTCCAGGCGGAGCAACCACATGGAATTTGATTAACCCTCTGCCCCCTTTCATCAAGAAACAAACGACCTGCTTTATGTTGTATCGTGGGCTTTGCACTCATGTTGTTAAAATAAAATAAAAAAATCGTATTTAACGCAAACTATAACCGAAAGAAAGAAATAATGCATCGTTGAGGAAGCGGGCACAAGAGACAATAGATATAGAGAGAGAAACGGCGTAGAGCAACGCACGTCTCCTAGCTGTCTGTAGACTGTAGCTGTGGTGCCAATCAAGACATACGGGAATAATAGACAACTGGCTTATTATGTAATATAGCGGTTGCTTTTACCGTTTAGGTTATACATTGATAACTTTGATTACACGTTAATGCACCAATCTTTCTTTTTCTTTTTTAAATGGGAGCCAATTTTCATAGTCTCCATTGTATTGTGACTACAGTCTTCAAGTACTTTGAATGTACATTGAAATCCCCCAAACAGACAAATATATATAACGAAATATTGATCCCTCATCCCAAGAGGCAAAGAAGAGAAAGGATTGTTACTATGCAAAGATATGGAGGAAGGGCTCAGAAGTTGCTCGCTGTTCTTAGAAGTCTCCTGAACTCTTGGAGGCTGATCTTCCCATCCCTGTCAATGTCTGCTTCTTCCAGTAGCGGATCTATGGACCCTCTTCTTAATCCAGTATGCTGAAGAAACCCATATCCACAATTTTTAAAAAAAATAATTTTAATTTCCCACATCAACCAACCCAACTTATGCAATCATGTAGTGTAGTAACTCCACCGTGTCATTAACTTGCTTTGCTCCCAATTTACACCACTTTGTGAAACACTCTTCCCTAAAGACACTTCAATGACACTTGAGCAAAAGCAAGAAGAGAAATGGTTAGACACAACTTACCAGTCTCAGTTCCTCAGGTGTTATGTAACCATCTTTGTCAAGGTCGAATTTCTCGAAAGCAGCTCGTGATCTAAGCTGCCATTTCTCGGAGTCATGTTCCTCCAGTTGATGAACGTGTAATGCAGCTGCCACAAACTCTGTGAAATCCACTAACCCGTCAGTGTTGCTATCAATCTGCATCAAGAGCAAGAGACAACCAAAAAAATCATGAAACGGTTCTAATTATGCAAGCAGTCCTGGATGCTGCGGAAATTAAATGACCACAAACCGCTTGAAGAATCTCAATGACTCGAGAATCATTTAGTTTCCAAGGAAGATCTTTAGCAAGTGCCTGCCCAAAAAAAAACAAGATCAACTGGATGCATATGATACTATCTTGATGAATGTTACAAAAGACTATTGGGTGAAAAAAAAGAAATGAACTTTGCCTGTCTCATCTCTTCAAGACTGATGACACCGTTTTTATCAACATCAATGGCATCAAACTGATCCCTGAGGTCAGCAATCTCAGCCTCGTCAAGAGTGCTAGCAAGAGCCTGAAATAAAAAAGGTATTCAACACCATGGAAACATCCTGTATACATTCATCCAGCCATTTTTTCAAGCTTCTTGACAAAGTTTTTACCCGTAAAGCAAACTGCTTCAGACGGCTGTACTTCACAAACTGACGCAAATTGTTCAACACAGATATGTCGATTGAGATCTCAGATGCGTTCCCGCCTTCTCTGACCCACGGATGTGCTGGAAAACGCAAAAACCTCAACATCGCTAAAAAGGGGAAATGACCCAATGGTTCTAATATTCTTCCCTCCTGCAAAAGTAATAGAAAAAAGAAACATACATAGGGCTTGGGCAGCAGTTAGCCTTGTTCGTGGGTCTTTTACAAGCAACTTCTTAACGAAATCTTTCGCGCTTTCACTTATAGTAGGCCATGGTTTGCGACGGAAGTCAGGTTTATTCCTCAAGACCTCCTTAAATATGCCATCTTCAGTCCTATCCCAAAAGGGGCGTCTCCCACAAAGTAAAATGTATGTAATTACACCAATGCTCCAAACATCTGATTGAGGCCCCGATCTACGTTTCAGTACTTCCGGAGCTACGTAATATGCACTACCCACAATGTCACGGAACCTTTTCCCTGTGAATATTGTTGATATTTTCATCCAAAGAGCATCGAGAGGCAGAAGTAAACCCAAAACCTCTGGCTTTTTGTAGTAAATTATTGGCTATGGCATTCAATATAATATATGCTATGAACCTGGTTTTATGAAGTCTGACAAACCAAAATCTGTAGCCTTAAGAGGCGAGTTCGCTTTTGCTGATTTGAACAAAAAATTCTGCAACAAATGAAGGGGAAAAAACAGAAGACGATTACCAAGAAGTAGAACCTCCGATAGACAGTACTGCATGAGAGCGTTAGGTTACCTCTGGCTTCATGTCTCTATGTACTAAACCGTGTAAATGACATTCAGCTGCAACTTTGAGCATCTGCCTTACGACAACTGCTGCATCTTTCTCTGAGTATCGACTATCTTTCCTGAAACAAGAAACAAAATTATTGAGCATAAGGTTGTCTCTATGATCACAAATAAGAAACCAGAGAGCTGAAAGATGCTAACTTTGCCAATATCCGATCCAGCAATTCTCCCCCCTCGCATAACCTAGATAGAGAATGAGAATCAGATGTATCAATGCACTTGATAAAGGGAAACTGTCCTGAATAACATGAGAGATTTGCATGGATGGACCAAGTGCTCAGAGACAAGGCAAGAGGAGCAAACTATTGTAAATTGCTACTCGCTTGTGAGAAGGGTTGAGGAAACTCACTCCATGACTATATACACATAGTTTTCATCATCAAAGGCATTGTAAAACTGTACAACGTTTTCGTGGCCAGAGAGCGCTTTCAGTATCTGCACCTCTCGCTTTACATCCACAACAGCTATGGGAAGAACCATCTGACAGCAGAAATGCGATAAGCTTAGAACAACCTTGTTCCATCGATCTGTTCTCCTTTTTCTTAGGCAATCGACAGAGGAAGAACACTGACAGCCGAAGAAGCATCGTAATGGAATCGTGTGACATTCCCAGCGCCCAATTGGGATCATGGAGAATCAGCATCAATTTAAAAACTAATCTTTCATGAATGCTTGAAGTATCAGGATCCAATTAAATATTAATCCTAACTTTTGCCATGAATCCATAATATCCAAAGAGATGAATTAGGGAGAAGACGTGAAGGAAAAGGGAATTCCCGCAGAAACACGATGATCTCAAAACCCTAGTCGCTGAAAATTCCAAGAGAATCATCAGTAACAATACCTTACTCTTGTCGAGTCTCTTAACCGCGACTCGATCTCCATTGGCCTTGTCGGTAGCAACATAGGTGTAGCCGAACTGGCCGTGACCCAATAACTTCCCGATCGTGTAGTGATCGTGGAAATCCTTGGCGTACCCGAAATCGGCACGCTTGCCGCACGGGATCACACCACTTGTCCGCTTGGTGCGCCCCTTCTCCTTCTCCTTCGGTTGTTGATGTTTGCTCTTTGCTGCAGGTATGGGGTTCTTGTTTCTTCCGCGATTTTGATTGTCCGCATTGGTTAGGTTAGCGGCGTTGCTTCTTCGGCTGGCTCTGCCGC